ACTGTAAACATACATCCAGAGTTCACAGGGGCTTTCATCAAATCTAATTAAAAAGGTTAACTATGTTGCTCAGAAGAATTTCAGTAATGATTAGTATCAGCTGTAACTGCAGTCAAATTGATTCTACAAATTTGAAGGGCTAGCTACGACTTTTTTTCAGTTTTCTTCTGTATAGAAATCTGATGACTTATCTTCGTTTTTCTTCCTTTTATCATATGAAAGCCAAAGAAAAATAACAGATATGTGCTGCTGTAACGTGAAAAATATCAGAAAAATGTCAAGATTCGAATACCTTGACAAGGTTTTTCCGGCCTGCATCCGGTTGTTAAAGGCCTGTGACCTACCGTTAACACTGGAAAGCAACAGCAGTAGAAGAACAAGCACTTCATGCTCCATCGCGATCTTGGCTAGATTGACTTTAACAGCACTGCTTCACAGTGTGAGAAAAACCCCAACCACCTCAATCATGGAGAGAGGAAGTATAATCAGCAAACCCCCAAAATACTCCCCTTCCTCTAAGACTGCATCGTCCTGTTGCCTGCTAACAAAGTTTCTCTCCCTTCCTTCTTTGCAATCACAAAATACTGTGTATGTGCAGTTTGTGTGCAGCATCACCTCCTGTGATGCAGTGGCAGGTTTGAGAAGTGACTGTTTTTGGTGCTGAAACCCTCTTGGCTTTCTGTTGCGGTTAAAAGAAATGATGAGTGTTTCTTAAAGGGTTCCTACAAGCAGTGTTTTACTAATGTCAGATGTTTAAAGCTGTAGTAGGTAACTTTTATTAAATATACATATTACATATCTGTCAAAACTGTCACTATGTACTGACTATAAAAACTATATAAACTCCCTACTGCAGCTTTAAGGACTAAAATATACATACACTTGGGTTTCAGTGCAACCTTGGGTTGTAGGGTTGTCTATTCTTGTTTCATTAAAAAACAGTATACACAGAGAGACTTGGAGGGCGAAAGAGGGAATAAAATTTGCCAGAAAAGAAAATGGAGTCACCATTGGTTTCCTTCTTTGAAGGTGCGACGTACACTAAGCACTCCGGTGATGCAGTGCTAAACAGGGCACAAGAAAATAAGCACACAGCAAGTCTTTATCGAGTCACTTTCTTTCTTCCAGCCTGATGAAAGTTAGTCCATAGACTGCCGCAGGTGGACTGAATATCAGTTATGATTTCTCAGTGCTTTCACATGAGGCTAAAGCTATAAAACTGGAGCTGATTTTCCATGTGACAAAAAACCCTGTCCAAGCAACGGGACTAATCAGGCGGCATGATATCGACTGTCAATCCAGGATCATATACTGGGGCAAAGCTTAAAAAAGAAAGCACTTCACACATCCTACATTTAGCCTTAATCAATCTTGCTCTGCTGGGGTGTTTCAAGGCACATTGATCGACAGCCAAGATGGAATCTGTTCAAAGAACTTGCTGGAGAAGAAAGGCTGGAGAAACATTGAGGAAGAAGGTGAGTAATTGTCTTCCATGAGCTGGAGATATTATAACCAGACTATTTCTTCTTGCTTTTTCTGCTTTTTAAGCTAAATGTTTTGAAAACAAGCAAAACAAGTGTAAAATTTATCCTATGATTTATAGCAGGGATCACAAATAAACCAAGGGGAATCGGGCAAACCACATCACATCAATCCTGTTTATATCCATCAAAACATCAAACTGTTTCTTGTAGTAAGATGGCAGCAAAAAAAAAAAAAAAAAATTAAAAAATTGCCTGGGAAAAAACTACATCTCCAGCAGCTTACAAAGCATTTGCCCTTGACAGACTGAAAACGCGTCCCCGAAAAATGATCTGCAACCTCATGACGTCTGAGGCAATCAGTCCCAATCTTCACACTGTGACAGCTCATTACAGCGTTTGGCTACTCGCCCAATAACGGCACACTTGTTCTCTTGTCACCACGGGGACATGACGCCACACCATTCGAAAGATAAATGACTTGGTGATAATCATGGCTCAAGCAGTGACACTAACCCATTAACCCTGGTTTTCACAAGCACGGTTGTAACTTTGACGATAATTTATATCAAAAAGGTTTGAAAATCCACACAATTCCGGGTATTCCAGATCGCAGTCTGACTGAAAACCCATCATTATTGTTCCGCCTTGCAAGTGCCTGATTCTTCTTTATCTCTCTGTACAGGTGCCTTCCAAATGCTATCAAACTTTCTGTCACAATACAACCAGATGCATTGCCACCATTTTATTGAGCTTTTATGTAATGCACCAACTCAAAGCGGTGCATATTTATGAAGTGGAAGGATCAGTTTAGTTTCTTTTTTTTCTACAAATGATACTCTAAAATGTGTGCAGTGAATATGTATTCAGTCCCTTTTTAAGATACTCCTAAATAAAAGTCCAGCGCCACCAATGACCTTAAAACTAAATAACAAGAACAGTCATTCATCCATTCATTCTGTATGGTCTACCAGTACCAGACCATGCAGAGGCTGCTCATCTGTCTACGAGGACCACGATTCTTAATGTTGGCTCTCGGGACCCAATGCGTGTTTTGGGTGTTCCCCTGCTGCCACACACCTGATTTAAATGAATAGGGGATCTACAGGCTTCTGCAGCACTTGATGCCACGCTGAGGAGGCAACGGAATAACTCGAATCAGGTGAGCTGGAGCAAGGACACATCTAAAACATGAAGGGCAATGGATCTGAGGACAGGGACTGAGAACCACTGTTCCAGGAGAAACAATAATTCTAATGCCCCGATAATTTATTGGTAGGAATTACCCTGACACAGATTTGGTTATTAATGTTTTCAGGCACACTGGCTCTCATTTAACTGTAAAGACCATGAGGGAAATTGGCAGACATTAATGTGTGTTCAGCCCATATCAAATCAGTTTTTCACCACCCTTAGGGCTTAATAGGAAGCAATAAATGAATTATGATGCACTAGCCAATTTCCCACGGTTTGAGGTGTAAATAAAGACAATGACATGCAGCTTATACAGTGTCTCCTATTTTATGTGTCGTCCCCTGAAATTGAATACGAAAGATAACTGTGATGTGAAAATACGTAACGACTAAGAACACTACTCTAAGAGACTGGTTCTCAGTGTGCATTAACTATTACAGCTGATGTTTTGAGAAACTCTTTCTCCCCTTATCTCTGTGCTTATTTCTCATATCCTATTAAACAAATGAGCACACATCTGAGCACAAAGTTTGCACCATGAAACCCTCAACCCACTGCACACTGTAAAAGTGCACCTGCAGGGAAAGACGACCGTGTTACTCAAACTTCTGCGATGCTCATCGAAGCACACAAGCAGATGGGGAAGCCAGGAAACCTGGTCTATTTACGAGACGGTGGCTTATATCGCAGATATACACAGTCAAATACATGGTTTCAAAATTATACAATACATTAATAATGTAAGCTCCATATTGTTTATTATATTTTGAAAGTAAGTTTGTTGATTATCCTTTGAGCTAAGGATTTTATTTCCTTAGATAATTTACATTTGCATGCCTATGCATGGTTTGCTTGTTCTTCCGCTGCATGTGGGAGTAAAGGATGGTTTGTCCTGTTTGTCTTATGAGCCGGCCCTGTTACTGACTCATTGGTGACCCCCCCAGGGTGCATGTTGTCTCTCACCCACTGACTGCAGGAGATTAGCATTAACCTTTTCCCATGACCCTGAGTCGGATTAAGCAAGTACACATAATGGATCAGTGGATGGAGTTGACACGTCTTTCATTTGTTGTTAAAATTTGTTTTGCAGCCTTTTTACAGAATTGAAGCTGCGAGAGTTAATGAAATGCAAAAACAACTTCTGCTGATTATTCCTTTAGAGAATAGTGAGGTTAAATTACACACAGTTGGAACCAAGTATTTGTAAAAAAAAAAAGAAAAGTAATTGAAGCCCATGGTTTTGCTTTTTTTTTTAATTCGCAATTATTATTCAACCAAATAACAAACAACAAATGAAATTTTGCAATTCAAAATATTGCAAAGGCTCTACATCCTAAGGAGCTGAAAAGGATGAATTTATACAAGCAGAGATGTTTTTTTTAATGTCTACAAGTAATGTGAGGAAACTCCTTACAGAATTAATTTTTGTCAGGCTTTCCAGCTGCCATCACCTCCATCGACTAGTGAATGTAACCCAGCACATCATCAAGCCACAGCTACCAAACCTAAACACACTCGGTAAACAATCAGACTGCAGAAAAGAAAAGCAGCAGCATAATCGTGGACATTATGTACTGAGGAAACCATCTGCTTCCATCTGGAAAATGATTCAACACAGCAAATAAAGCAACAACAGACTGACAAACACCTTTTATCCCACAGCGATGGCCTCCGTCACACCAGTCATACCCAGTCTTTTACACACAAAAGAAGTTAAAAAAAAAAAAAAACTGTGAGCACAGTATACATTAAACTGTGAAAAACATGAAGTGAAATAACTGTGTGATTACCTAACCCTTGGAGAGCCTGAGTGGGCTTAGAGAATGTAGCTTCTATTAATAAGAATATCTTCCAAACTCAATTAATTTCAAATCTGTTTTGTTTTTTTTTGTTTTTACATCAGAACATTTTTTTCTATTATTCAAAATATATTTTTCAACTAGTCGAAATACTTTTTTTCCCCACATACTTGTTACTGAGGCACACATATTTTTCCTTTATTATAGTCTTAGCACTACTTCAACAAATCCAACTCAGTCTGATTCTTAAAAAAAAAAAGAAAAGTGAGCTCAGCTTTTCAGCCTTCCTTTTTTTTTTTTCAACCAACCTCATGTACCGCTAAGACTGACCTCTCGAAATTATCCACAGCACAAGGTAATTCACTGTGTAGAAAAATCCAACCAAAAAGAAAAACTGTAATATATTTTCTGGTACGCCGGTGCTGCAGAGAAAGCAGATGCTATCTGGATCTCTACAAACAAGCTGCTTTACTTTATTCAATTGTTGATCATGCCAAATTTGAGTTTGGATGTTAAAGATACTCACTGTGCTGGCAGTGAACTCCACTAAAGCCTTGTGGACACTTGCACACGTAGCCGATGAACGTATCGCCTCTGTAAGTCTCGCTGATCTCACACGTTCCTCTGTTGTGGCAGGGGTTTGGGTGACAAGGACCTGTGCAGGAGCGGAAGAAAACGCATACACGTAATGAGTTTCATTTATCACATTCTCATTTACTAAGTCTACAAAACCATACTGCAACTAGGTAATGTATTTACTCTGTCAGAGTGCATTGTGTTTCATTATGAGCTCCGCGCGAGAACAAAACGAGTAAAAATGCAGACAACCTCATCCAGACAGTAATTTAAGAGTCACATAAAAGAAAAGCATATAATATTTCATGAGCTTTGAAAACTCATTTAAAGTAAGTTTGTACACATAAATTTATTCAAAAATACCCTGTAAGTTTACATCAGTGTTTCTCAACCCTGGTCCTCACTGACCCACTGCCTAGATGTTTTAGGTTTTTCCCTTCTGCTGCACACCTGAATTGTATCTCTGGGTGATTAACAGACTTCTGCAGTACTTGATGGTCATGCAATCATTTGAATCAGCTGTTCTGGAATAGAGGCACATCTAAAACATGCAGAGCAGGGGGGGGGGGGGGGGGGGGGGCCAGGG